AGTAAGTATAAGTAATCTGTATAATTAAATTAGACCTATACTGACCCGTAACGGCCTGAAATAGCTGCACTCACTAATGTTTCTATAACATATCAGTCTTTGCACTGCAAAAAATAAACCCCACATCTCAGTCACTGCATGTTACCATAGAAAAGTTCAGGAGAGCAGGTGTATGCTGGTCTTTATAGGGGTGGGAAAGTTAACCAGACAAACATCCACCATGGCAACAACCTAGCCTTCATCCTTGAAGTCTTTTCTCTTGTAAACCTGAAACGTTTTCCGATAAAGCATAAATCTCATTTTAGGGAACCGGAGGATGTCTGCACACAGTGGATGAGACAGAGCTGTGAAATTTTGCAGCCTCTCACATTTATAGAATACACAACACAAAGGCTACACTCAGTATGATTCAAATGGACTTTTAGGCCAACGAAAGGGTAAAAGAAATAAGGTCAGAGGGCTTCAAAACAGCATTTTGACTTTCATGTTGTCAAATGTAACTTAGAGAAAATATTGTTCAACAGTTTAATGGATACATTTAATTTGTGATATTATAATAATATTGTTTTCAAATTTAATAGCTTATAAATGTTCTTCAATGGGTTCGCCCATTCATGCCTGGGATGAAAATCCCTCCAAAAACAAGAGGCCTGAAGATGCAAAACTATTATCTCACACAGAAAGAGCAAATATTTGAGAAGAGTTGAAATAAACAATTATGAGTGGAGCAATTGTCTTCTCTTCTACTTGTTCAATATCTTGCAACCCCTTAGATTATAGTGACCCCTTCTTGGGTCCAGACCCTACAGTTTGGGAACCACTAATGAAAAAAAGACAGTATATGTCCAAAGGAATTACACTATTGGTTTATCTTCTACTAAATGGACAATGGTTAGGAATATTTTCAACAGGCGAATCCAGGAAAATACTGAGAACCTTTTTTTGACCTCAGTCACAGAAATCATTAAAAAACGAACGAACTGCTCTAAATGGAGCAGAAAGGTCTGAAGTGTGTGGAAACATAATACACAGTCTCCTGATGCAGTAACAGGACTTGCCAACAAGTGGCACTCTTGTCAAACTGTATGCATGTGAGCATGCCTTCAAACCTTTAAACCAAAGTTGAAACTGAGCTTGACTCTACAAATTTTGGGGAAGCTACAAAGACAGAGGACTGGGTGAGGCCAGGCAGGCACTACAATTGCTCTCCTGTAGCACAACTTATGATCCTCCGCAATCTAAAGACTTTGATACATTCTTTCTCCATAATGATTTCCTCTGAGTAATAACTCAAGCTTCGGGAAACACAGTGCTGCTATTGTGCACAGCAGATAAAAGCAGACTAAACTTCCTGTGTCTGCTCTGGAGAGTGTATGGGTGCAAGACATTAAGGGGACTTAAAAAAACAATACTGAGCTCTTTTTAATCTGTAAAGGGCTTAAACATCAGTGTCGGCTCAAAATGCATGCCACGTTTGATAATCTTTCGATCACAGTCAATCTGACAGAGGGAGCTGATCGCTGAAGACACACAAGTCCTGCTGTGTTGACACACATCAGAGGGTATCAGCTATAATCTTTTATAAAACAACACAATCTACTTAGCAGCTTAGAATAGCTTATGGAGGAGTGCTGGCGTGCAGTTGCAGCATGAACAGCATGAAGGTCTATGGGCCAGAGGAGGATAAGAATGGTTGTGTACATTATGTCTGCATTGCATGTCACATCTTGGAGCAGTTAAA